ACTTGTTTTCATTCTGAACTTCGTATTATTTTTCTTGATATGATATGTTAAGATTTTTGGCTTGAATTTGCAGCCACCATGCAAAATCGGTGTAGATTGAAGTGTTTCATCCAAATACGTGTTTTTATTCTGAACTTCGTTTGTCTAATTAATTATTTTAAGAATTAAAATCAATAATCAATAATAATTAACAAAAATAAATAATTCTTGATAAATTATTAAAACAGCGAATGGATGTTACTGATTTTATTTTCGAGAGATATAGCCGATCGAAATCGTCTCACCAACCAAGGTGACGGAGTCTGACCATGCGCGCATACATTCGAGGTCGTTTTGTAATCGGGGGGCGCTTACGCATAAGACAACGGAATCGATACAGATTCCTTAATACACCACAGTCCTATTTCTGTCTTTTAGGCCTTGTATGTATACTTTTAATCCCCTAAACTATAGTATAGACGGATTAAAAGTAATGTAGTGGCATCAGCTTTACCTGTTACGAGTGACCTTGACGTGATTGAGAACGATAATGAATATTTAAGCATCAATCACGATGTAATGTACGCCACAAAATGTACACAAAAATAACTGGACTTCTGCAGACCTTCTTTTACCACAAGACGTTGGCACTGAATCATAAATAAGCTAGCTCTTAAATAAGGTTTTTCGAAAAAGAAACATTTTATATTGTATTATTAAATGCCATATTCTTTATGGCGTTTGCGTTTCCTAATGACTCTTTCTTTACTAAATAAAGGCAGGAAGGGCAATATAATCCTTTTTTTTCTTCCCCATAATCTACGGATATGTGAAAAAAAATGTTTTATCGGCAAATAGGAAGGATTATATTAAGTTCCATAAGAAACTTTGTATTAGGCTTATTAAAGTTGAAATATCGCTTTCAGGTTTCTTGGCACTGGATATTTAAGGAAAGATTATTTGAAATCCGCATATAAAATCCAGCGGGAATGCGCCGAAGATCTTACTTAAGCATTAGACGATCGACTGATGCATTGCTTTGAGAAGGCAAGGTGACACTAAAAGTCAAAGGTACTGGTGATATTATAGATCAAAAAGTGAAACATCTTTTTGTATTACGGTTTTCATAGCCGCCGTCTTGGTTAAAAATGACAAAATAATTTATCATTAGTCTCTAGTCATATATATTAACCAACATATCTGTCGTGTCATTTATTATTTTATTGTTTTGTAAACGACTGAAGAATAGCGTTCACGAGTCAAAACAGCGATATTGGTGCTAATCTACAGAAAATGTTTTTGGTGAGAACAACACCAAGCGTACAGCTTGGTTGTCCTATCTTTTCTTTTCTCTTTTATTTATTTATTTATTTCAGTTATTGGAATGCTACTCTCATGTGATTTTTTCCCGTAGCATTTCTGTGTCACGGTGTATATATTCTAAGTCTCGTGTTGTCTAACAAAGGATAAAATCCGCTTCATCAATCGTTGCTCCATTTTAACGAACGGTAAATACAATACAAGTACAATTCATTTAATTTCGTTCTTTGTCCTATTTCTACTTCCATTCGATTTCGATCCATCTCAACGATAATTCTCACACTTTCATTCCCAGTAACGAGAACCGAA